TTTCCTTTTTGCTTATGTGGTGCTGAGGAATCGAACCCAGGGCCTCAGGCATGCAAGGCAAGCGCTCTACCACTGAGCCACCTTCCCAGCCCCAGTCCGTGAGACTCTTATCTCCAATAAACCACTGGAAAGCAGTGGTGCTGAGGCTCAAGCGGTAGAGCGCTCGCCTTTAGCTGAAGAGCGCAGGGACTGCGCCCAAGCCCAGAGTTCAAGCCCTACGACTGAACCCCCCCCTGCCCCCAAAAAAATACCCGCAAAAAAAAAGAAAAAAGAAAGATACCTAAGTACAATCAAATCTACAGGAGGTGGCTCTAGCACTTTGAAAGATAAGAGCAATTATCACCTATCTGTATCTTATACTCTTTTTTTTTTTTTTGTCTGTCGTGGGGCTTGAACTCTAGGCCTGGGTGCTGTCCCTCAGCTCTTCAGCTCAAGGCGAGTGCTCTACCACTTGAGCTACAGCGCCACTTCCAGTTTTCTGGAGATAGGAGTCTCTCCTGCCCGGGCTGGCTTTGAACTGCGATCCTCAGATCTCAGCCTCCTGAGTAGCTAGGATGACAGGCGTGAGCCACCAGCGCCCGGCTCGTTTTTTTTTTTTTTTTGGGGGGGGGGCAATCATGAGGTTTAAACTCAGGGCCTGGGCACTGTCCCTCAGCTTCTATTCTACCACTTGAGCCAACAGGGCCACTTCTGGCTTCATGTATGCTAGGCAAGCACTCTACCACTAAGCCACATTTCCAGCCCTATACCTCACTTCTGATCAAATCAAGTTTATGTCTATGATCCCAGCTACCCAGAAAGCAGAAATCAGGAAAACTGATTCAAGGCCAAAGGGCAATACACTAATGAGACCCTTACCTCAATCAATAAGCTGGACATGGTGCTATTGCCTAGAAAAGTCACAGCTTGGCCAAAAGAAGAAAGCAACCAGGGCCAGGGACTGAAAGTTGTAGAGCACCACCTAGTAAACATTAGGCCCTAAATTCAAACCTCAGTACAGAGGAGACTGGAAAGGAGGAAAGGAGAAACACTTCTTCCAATGACATTTGAAAATGAGAAAACCGTCTTTATGTAGGAATGTACATCGTACAATGTAAACTCTGGCACATTAGCTCTACACACAAGAGATGTGTGCTTTTTCACAAAGCAATCTTTACTAGCCAATTAAACACAATAAATACTATCTATCCACCCAGATCCCAATGTATTATCGCTACTTACAGAGCCAATTTACCTTTAGAAATAAGTCATTCTATTTACCAACCTCGCTATCCCTCCTAAAATTCCTGTGAACTTAACAAAAATCTTTTGCAATTTGCTGTTTCCTTAAAATGTTTTCTTTCAGGGCTGGGGGTTGTGGCTCAATAGATTGAACTTCAAACTCTAATACTGCCAAAACAGTTTCCTCTTCAGTTGCATAAACCTAATTCCTGAAGCACTTCTACTGTCATAGGAAATTGCTCTAATTGTCGTTTTTTCTAAGTCTCTTAGTACACACTGAGGATAGTAGTAAAGAAAGAAATAAGACACAAATAGATAGTCACACTAGTCTTCCTACCCTATAAAATATACTTCTGTTTCTTCTAAGATGAATTTCACCTTTACAGTTCAAGATAGCATAGCCAATCACTTGAGATTCTTTCTCAACCAACAGCTAGGTGTAGTGGTGTGTGCCTATCTACTTATCTACCTGGGAGGATGAGATGGAGAACAAGTTCTCCAATTCAAATGATCAAATTTCCTATGAATAGAACTTCAGCTTTCCGGGTAAGGGGAATGGACTTCTGATTTTTGTTACTGTTTACTTAAGAGTAAGTAAGGGGCTGGGAAGGTGGCTCAGTGGTAGAGC